AAGAGTTCTAACGATTATCCTTAACAATTGATGCTCTAAAATCAATATCCAAAAAGATATAGTACTTTGAAGTTACAGATTTTTAATTTTTCCAAGTCCACAGACGAAAAATTGTTTTCTCGAAAATCCGGTGTTTTCTTGAGAGTTCTGGTAGCAATATATATAAATAGTTTGTATCAATTATTTCGATACAAAAACGGTCGGTATTCGGAAAAAAATCACGTAAAAACGCACGGAAAAAAAAAGTTAACTGTCACTGTTTATTACCTTATTACATCACAACTCAATACTTCATTGTAAGGGTATTTGGGACCTGCTCTTTCAGATTTTAATGGCAGCAAAAAATGGGGGGTTCCATTTAAAAGAACATACATTGACCTTCAATTATACTCAAAATTGACATCAAGGTCAAATTGAAGGTCACCATCTTGTGGCCCCCTTCGAACCCTACAACTTTTATCTGAACTATTTTTTTGCTTCTCCCCATTTCCTAAAGAGTTATTCACGTTTTCTGTTTCAAATGGGACACCCTGTATATATTATTTTTTGTTAGTAAATAGATTTTATTTACCTCGAAATATTCTGGCTTATACACGACAATAAAAGGTTTGGTTCCAAACCGGAGCATAAATATTCCTTCTTTAAATTCATTTAGAAATAATTGAAACCGTTTTGTGCGACCTATATGCGACAATTAAAAATTTATTAACTATTATATTAATAATTTATTAATTGTTATTTCTATTTATGGTACAACTGCAAAAAAGGGAGCAACCCCCAATGATCTTGACCTTGACGTATGTTATCAAAGTCATAACCGTGAGTACCTTCCCTGTAGGGGAACTCCACTACTGTTAAAAATAACCTTATCCAACTCATTCTTTTGTGTGAAATACCTCTCGTTTCGCGTGGACACTAGACAGTACAATCATAGAGGAGTGAAGGGGAGGTGAGAGTTACTTCGTGTGGAAAGTTTAACGTTTCTAACAGAGAAAAGTGTAGAATAGTACTTATTATCATATATGCATAGTAGAAATAATATGTTTAATTTTAAAACTTTTTTGTTAATAACGAAGGACGACCGCCAAGTAAAACCTGCGGGAAGTTACTCAGAGTCATGACCTTGACAACATATGTCAAGGTCAAGGTCATCGAGGGTTGCTCCCTTTTCCTGCAGTTTTACCCTATTCATTACATGAGTTTAAGGAAAAAACTTTTAATTTTGAGCCTTATGCGCAAACATATGTATATGAACGAAATTTTAATAATACATTAAAGAACAATAATATGTATAAAGTTTTTTATACCAGAATCAGATAACTTCATAAACTCATATGTAACACCAATGAAAGGATATCCTTTGACTTCAGGAATATCTCCGAGTTTTTGTTTAATAACATATTGATAGTAGATCATCAAAAAAATTGAGAAAATCACAGCAATGCAAAGAGTGCATAATGCCAAAAAAATGAAATCCATCCTTATGATCTGTGAACACTTCAAAATATTTATTAAGCAAATTTATACTTATTAGATTTATAAAAATAATGAAATTACATTAATATCTCACTGAAAAAAATGCTAACAAAATTTTCATCGTATACACTGATTAAAAATGTTTCTCAGAGATCAAATTAAATAAAGACGATGATGCGTATGTCAGAAAATATACATATATTCCATATTAAAAATATATTTTGTAATATTCAAAGTTAACAAATTATACTGCTTATAAAGTTTGTGCTTTTAAGTGCTTTTAAGTATACTAAAGGCAAAAGCTAATAACGTCCTTTTGTTAAAATTGATATAATATTAAAAAATACAAATGTAAGGATAATTTTACTGAATTTTTTCAAAAAATGTGTAATAACATTTTTCAAACAGCTTTGATGTACAAATTTTAATTTATATCATAGAACTTTAATTGTAAAATTTATAAAAAAATTTTGAGATATTGTATAACAAACTTCAATTTGTATTTGTAGTTCAATAAAAAATCATTATTTAAAATACCGATTTAAAAACAAAATTCAAGTTTTGAAATATTTTTAGATCATCGAGTTATGATCGTTTTTAACGAAATTTTATATTCTCTTGAAAATTATCTATTTTTAGAGAGTGGAATAATTAGCATATAATGCATAAAAATACGAGTTTTCGATACTTACCATTTGTTACGTAAAAATTTCTGCAAACCATAATTTCTTATCACTTTTGACTTTCGATTGAAATATCGTAGCTTTTGCATTTATTATATGTGTATAATTTATGTTTTGTAATTTAAATTTATTATAGATTAATTTTGTTAAATAATGTTAAATATAACTATAAAATAGGCAATAGTGCGTCTAAATCCTAGATTTATAACAAGAAACAATTATAACGGCTTCTTTTCAATTTAAGATTTAGTTATTGAATGAGACTGTGGAAATCACGAACAATATTTGTGTTCTCTTTTCCGTTCCAAGCTAACAGTGATAAGTAAATACTCACGTGATTGGATAATTGAATCGAATACTTTATCTCTCTCTTACTATGTCTGACGATTAGAAAAATGAAGCGTTGTAAACCACCGATTTATATTTATAATCGATCTAATAAGAAGATAGAACCAAAACATTTGCATTTGATTGATGCTTGCATTTTATTTTTTGTTACAAAAATGCACATGTTTTTTTTTTAAATATACATGATGGTTCTGTGAATTGAGAATTGAATTCCAATGTTATACTGCTTAGAAATTTATGTAATTTGCAATTCATATCCGATTACTATTTAAATTATACATTCATGCAGCCATTTGTATTCCTTTTTTATGTTTGTAGCTCTTCTGATATATCGTATAAAAAGTTTATGTAAATACATCTTTAATTTTTTTTTTTATTATATCGTGCGACTACGAATGATATATACGAAGAAATTATCCCTCGTAAAAAAATTGTTAGAGAAAGATTAAAAACAATAGAATTTGTATGCATTCGTATCGTTCTTCTTAAGTTTATATCGTTTATCTCGCGAGCATCACAATTGATCTAGTACGAATCCTATCGTATTTTATCGTATTCTATAAAATTTGTACAAGATTCTCATAAAATTTGATTCGAATTAATGAATTAAAAATCAGATTTTTTATATTCAAAATGATAGGATTTTTCTATCGTTCTCTATTAACTTTTTTTTACCTTCTTTCTTTTTAATACTTTTTTAAAGGACTGTAATTTTATGTCCAAAAACTGTTATTGCAATGTGTACAGGAAATGTGATAAATAAAGAAATTATATAAGCTACTCGATTACATAGTATTTGAAACATAACATTTAAACAAGTCATATTAAAGTTATTATTTTAAGAAATTTAATATTAAAATGTAAATATTAATTTTGTTAAACACATTTCGTCTACAATAAATAATAATATAAGAATTAAAATTGATCTATTCAATTATAAATTTGCCTGATTGTGAGAAGACTCTTTTAATTCTATTCAATTAAGGAAATAATTAAACAAAGATTAATCAATTTTAAAAAATCAAGTAATATTATATAGAAATATACTGAGTAAGTACATTTTATTTTAATACTCTTATCTTAAAACGAAAAAATTTACAATAAGCATCAACGTAATCCATGTTATAACATCCACTCATTTTAAATAAAGAAAACAATTTGTCTCGATGCACTGAAGACGCATTCGTATATTTGTATAGTAAATATAATAAAATGTATTTGTTTTTGATACATATTTAACTATGTATATATATGTATACATAATAAAATTTTAAGGGGGAAAACTAAAAAAGGAAACAATATTCTCTAAATTTTAGAAAACAGATATAAAAATCCAAAAAAATTAATAAAACATGCCAATGTGAGCCGACACAAGTTGACAGCAATCGTTTTCACAGTACTCAGAGCTGCGCGTGCAGGCGATGAGTATATATAGCGTTCGAAACAGCTACCAGTGCGCGCACAGCTGTGATTACTGTCCAAATAGCGATGACTACCCTGCTTAAAATTTTCTATAAAAAACTATAGGAACATATAGAGTTTGTATAGGTATTTATAGTTTTTAATAGTTTCCATAGTAGCGCACGAGAGCGACTATAGAAGCTCTACAGTTATCAATAAGATTCTATGAGTATAATAATAGAAAACTATTGCGGATTGGGATTTACCGATTCAAAACACTCATTAAAAACATATAGAATTTTCTTAATAGTTTTCTATAGAAAATTTTAAGCAGGGTAGCGCGCGCACAATAATTATCACTGTGCAGTAAAAATTTTTTTTGTAATCAGCTCAGTAATAGGCGCTGAGCGGTTTAGCGATTATCGCCGCGCAATTTTCTCCGTGTATATAAATGCATTCAAAAAAGTGTGCAATACAAAATTAAAAAAGCTTAAATACCTATACATTTATTCAAAAACTAATTATATTTTTTTATGTTGATGCTATCTAAATTGTGTTTTTCCAGTACATATATGAATTAAGTGTAAATTGCATCATCGTCTATTTTATTTTTTATTCTATGTAGCTACCTGCACTTTGTCGGATCGCGAAACTAGCGCCAGCGCGCCTTCCAGTAGAATCATATTTTTCAGTGATAGCTACATAGTTCCTAAATCAGAAATAGGTGTACGACGATAGTGTGTTTAATAATCGAAAAATCGAAAATGACTGTGACATCTAGAAAAAAACTTAAAGGTCATTTTTAATTTCTAGAGTAAATTGGAGGCGAAATCTTGGAAATCATTAAAGCATTGAAGCCAAAAATCAATTTTAAAAGATAGAATAACAGCATCATTACGTATCAATAGTAGAAAAGTATTTGACTATTGAATGATATCAAAGTTCAATCTTTGCATTACCAAGTCAGCAATGATGGATGACAACGAAGAGTCCATAGATGTGCAGAAATTCTGGTTATAGGTAATTAACTATTGTTAAATATAAAATAAGTAAAATCTAAAATAAACCGAACCTCCATGAAGAACTCTGTCTTAGGTAAACAATTATTTGAAATAAAATTCCATTTGTTATTGACACAATCTGAAGCAATAATTTTGCTTTAAATGCTTGTAAAAAGACACACAATATCTATAGTGAAGTTAATTTAAAATTATCCTCGATAATAGTTCTTTGGAATTTATCGATCAGTACAATACTATTTTTTATATAGCTATCCGCTTTAGAGATAGTTGTAAACATTATGTTGTGTAAAGACAAGGCCAAAGCATACAACGGACAACCTATCAAAAATACAATAATTTTAAACGGACAACGGCTTTTGGATCTTTGGTACAGCCAGAGAGTAGAACATATACATTTTTACTATAGTGTGTATGCTTTATATGGATGTTTATCGTTATTCGATAATATCGAATATTCGATATTTTTTGCTGCTCGATAGAAAAATATCGAATAATAAATTATGAATAAAATATTGACTAGATATTTTTTTACTATTTATATTCACTCCCCATTTTTATGAATATACTTTTAGGAATTTTGGATGCATTGCAGTACTTGGTAGTCGATACTATGCTGACTGAGCGTTCAATGAGCTCTTGTATTTGTCCATGGGTCTATCTTTTGGGTTCAACGGAATGTGCCAATTGGATGCAAGCGTTCAGTGAGTGGTGTCGAGTGTAAAAGTGTAATGTAATTAGTAATACTAAACACACACCCATTATATTTCATAGTTACATCCATTGTATTTCATAGTAACACTTTGTGACAGATGTGCGCTAAAATACTCGTTTTAAACGTGTATTTATTTTGCTGTGTATATAATTTTGAATTCTTTGCTTATATGTTCATAACTTTACAATAAGTCTTGTGTGGAAATATTTTATAAAATTAGAAAAAAATTTGTAAAATGTAAACTATGTTCCAAAGGTATAAAAGAGTTTTGGAACGACTTCTAACTTCTTCGCACGTTTAAAGACAAAACGTTTATTTACATATAATGATTGTGTAAAAAAGAAAAAATCAGAGATAAGTTATATTGCTTTTCACATATCTTCGTTCGTAAGCTCTAAAAAAGGCATTTTTTTTTTATTTATTCGTTGTGCGATATATTCGATGTCTATTCATTCAGAATGAATATAGATAGTTTTAAATTTAAAATATCTGAATATATTCATATGTATAGTCGATACTTTTGCTCGATATTAGCATGTCTAATACACATTCGGGAGAAACCCATCGCTGCAGTATAACAATCTATATTTCGAATCACACTAATGTCTAATATTTGCATCTCTTCCATCTCAAAATCATAGTTCTAAGAGAAATTGTAAGCTTCTTTGTAGGATCTTTTTTGATTATTTCGTAAGTATTTTTATCCTTTCGTTAATTTTGTTTAAATAAATATCTTTATCTAGAGCCATCGTGACATTGTTTTTAACTGCCTTTTGTAAAGATCAGGCACGGCACTAGAGTATTTGGCGTCCTCTCCCGCAAATTTAAATTAGCACC